CTAAGAAAACAAACAGGCTCATCCTAGAGAGGATTAAACTATGCTGCTCCTTAGAGGCAAGGATTCTGAAGCTTCGCCTGACATATTTTGGACATATTGCAAGGAGGGACCAGACCTTGGAGAAGGACATCATGCTTGGGAGGGTGGAGGGACAGCACAGGAGGGGAAGACTGTTGCAAACTGGACACAGGAAGAAAGCAGGGACATGGGGAAATGAGTTCAGAAAAGGAGGGAAGGCTAAGGCAGAGGTCCTCTCACAGCAAGTTACTGTAAAAAGGCCTCTTTCTTAGTTTCCTTCTGGTTTTTATTTCATTTCAGCCAATCAGCCTCAAAAAGGTTCAATACTGGAGACTGTATTTATCCTTATACTTTAGTGTTGCCAACCAAACACTGGGTAAGCTTAATCTTTAAACTAAGACCAAAGCTCAGACTTGGTGTCCCCTCAGGTGGGAGGCTGGGTGAAAATCTCTGTTTGCAGAGGGCATCCAGTATCTCCTCCAGGGGGCTGGGCGGAATTCTCTGTTTGCAGAGGGTGCTCAGTCCTTGTCTGGACTCTGACCTCAGCTGTGGCCCTGCTATCACTATGCTGGGAAATCTGCATTTCCCCCTTCGGTTGATAAGGTAGGCATCACTTAGTCATCAAGGTAAAGATAGCTTCTCTTTCTTTCTTTTTCCATTATTCTTTTTTTCCCCTTTGCATTCTCTACCCTTAATATAAAAACAAAAAATGAGAATTATAAGCTAAAACATGATTATAGAAGAACTTTCAAAAATTTTAACATGATCAAAGGGATTAAGATGACAAATTCTTAAATAAAATTAAAACTTTAAAGCTGAAAAAAAAAAGATGACAAATTCCTTCCTAGAAAATCAGCATTTCTAAATTTCCTCAATTGTTGATTGAAAGTATCATGAATTTGAGCTTGTAACTTTAATATCTCATCAGTTAAATTGCCATGATTCATGATATGTTTGCAGACTTTATCCCAATGCCATTCAGTATTATTCCGTACAACAGGGGTCACACAAAATTGAGTAGTATTCCAGTCACATTTTAGCTTAAATTGTCTCTGTATATTAGTGATATGATCACCTATCATAACTACTGACTGTTCTAAATCTGTTAATGGAGAATTGATTTCAGAGTCTATTTGTGTTTGAGATGACCATAATTTTTCAGAACCACTATGCCATTGTTTGACATAATGTACTGTTTGAACACCTTGATGCAGAGCAACTCAATAGCTGCTGTATCTGTTATAAACAGCAGCAATTAACGCTCCAGTAAACCTCTTGCTTCTTTTTAACAACTGATTCACAAGATGCTCTAAAAGTATCATCTCAGATTTACAACACATGATCCTCCGGGGCCGGGCCGCTGTTGGAAGGAATGACAGGCTTGAAGTTGAGCTGAGACCCCGCTGGGTTCATAGTTGCTCTGTTAATCACAAGGACAGAAATGTACAGCCCCTTTCCATGGGATACATGTATTTGATTTAAAAAAAAAAAAAAAAAGTATCATCTCAGGAGATGACTGCCATTTACCACCCAAATTAACAGGAAGGCATAACCCAATTCTAGATCTCAATATAAATATACATATATACTCTTATTAGGTGTTAGAGAAACAGAAAAATTTAAACAAATATACAGAGAATATGTGTTGCAAGTAAAGTTAAATTATCTGCCTCCTGCTTAGTAAATCCTTTTAAGAAAACAGAGGTTAATACAGCAAACATAGCTAAAAACAAATTCTTGGAGGACAGTTGTTGCCCTGTGTTCTTAATCACTTTCCCCCCTTCTGCTATCAACTTCCTTATCTGGCTCAGCTCTGCTTTCCCGGTCTCTGGTAACAGTCTTTTCTTGTGGTTTCTCTAAGGTCATCAGACTCATTCCACAATTCTATCTTCATCAAACACAATTCATCAAAATATGGCTTCTTTTGGCTTATCTTGAAGTTTCACATTCCTGGATGGTACCCACAGCATTTCTGTGCCTGTAGAAATACAAGTAAATTCTCCACCCTAATGAATGACAAATCCCTTTTTCTATTCATTAGAGGTTCTCTAAAATATATATGTGCTGATTCCGCTCTTTGATTGATTGTAATACCTAATGTCTTTCAGCTGGAGTTTCTTTCTCTTTTTCTCACTGTTGTTAAGTGCCTTAAGTGTTGTTGTTAAGTCATCTATGACTCATTAGAATTTAAAATTTTTTTAAAGTAAATAATGGTTTTTGTAAAATAATTTGAGGAGATATTATTTGTCCTATCTCATCTCCCCCCCTTTTGTTTTTTCAACATAATTTGTAAAGTCCAATTATAACTTGTCTTTGGGTATTATAAAGGATACAGAAGTCAAATTAGTTTTAACTACTTTATTATCTTACCATTAGTATGATCTGTATATCTCATCTTGTTAGCATCTGTCTAATAAGTATTAGCCATAAGGGGTAAGTTTTCACCTTTTCTGATAGAATCCAGTTCTTTTAATGAACTGTAATTATTTCTTTTGCAGATATGAATTAGAAATCTTACCTATATTAAAAAAGCAGTTTGCCCATTTTCAGAAACTTTCCATAAGTTATTAATTTGGGAAGTAGTAAATAGGACTATAATTTCCTTTAATAATTAAATCA